TGTACCTCACGGTATCACTTTCTGTTCATAATGTTTGCTTATTTTCTATTGAAAATCGAAAAATGATCAAGCGTGTGTTTGTTAGCGCACTCAAGCTCAGAGCACGGAGAGCGAAAGCTTGTGTTGCAAAGCCCAACGTTTCATTTTGGGGTTTAAGCCCCACCCCTGCCCGTTCCGACGTACAAAAACACAGCACTGGAGTTTACAATACAATTAGTGCAAAGGTGCAAGCGAGCTGGACAATAATGACAATAATAAACCCTGGAAACGGGTAACCAAGGAATCAAAAGATATACACAAATTTCCAAACACAACTATAGGTAACGGGTGCACGACGGAAAGATTTGTGTTTGTTCGTTCACGCCTTTGTTCCCCTTCTCCAGGGTTTATTATTGGCACTGGAGTTCCGTCGTGCAATCCCTACTGCTGCACTTTGAAATATTTTATTCACGTGCTTGAAATCACGTGAATTAACAAATTGTTCACTTTGTTAGCAATCACGTGAATTAACAAATTGTTCACTTTGCATAGCAGCCAATTTGAAGTGAGGCAATTCTTTCGTTGTATGTTTATCGGCGTTGCGCTATTAGTGGTGTGCGTTACAAGTAACCGCGTTACCAGTTACGCGTTACTCTTTGCGGTAACGTAGTAACGTATTCGTCGCATTTTTAAAACGTCAACGGGTAACGTACTTACGTTACTCGTTACATATTCTTCCCAAGAGTTCAAAAATTACACTTCAATTTTTTTCGTGTTTCTAGTAGTGGTGCAGAACTATCGATAGTACTATCGATAGCACCATCGATAGTCGACTATCGAAAAACTATTGATAGTCGACTATCGGAAAGCTTTGGATAGTACTATCGATAGTCGACTATCGGAACATTATTGTTAATCGACTATTGAAAGACTATCAACCGTCAACTATCGTAAACCTATCGATTGTAGTGGCGACGGTTTACTAGCGATAGTTTCGCGATACTAGCAGTTTGCGTCGCTCCCTCTTCTCTTCTCCTCGCATTTTTTTTTTTTTTTTTTAAACGGGACACTAACTAGCACAAGCACTCCCAACTTTGGTTCAGCTTTCAGTGATGACGAAGACGGCTGTTTGAGCGAAGAGAGGAGGACGGGAGGCGAGCGGCGGTGCGGCAACTGCATTCGCTCCGCACGCGAATACATCTACAAACTAGTGGCGCAAAACTATCGATAGTACTATCGATAGTGTCGATAATTGCCAGAAATTTGACTCTCGATGGTAAAAAAAACTACCGATAGTACTATCGACAATCGACTATCGAAAGACTATCGATAGTCGACTATCGAAAAGCTTTGGATAGTACTATCGATAGTCGACTATCGAAAAACTACCGATAGTACTATCGACAATCGACTATCGAAAGACTATCGATAGTCGACTATCGAAAAGCTTTGGATAGTACTATCGATAGTCGACTATCAAAAAACTACCGATAGTACTATCGACAATCGACTATCGAAAGACTATCGATAGTCGACTATCGAAAAGCTTTGGATAGTACTATCGATAGTCGACTATCAAAAAACTACCGATAGTACTATCGACAATCGAAAGACTATCGATAGTCGACTATCGAAAAGCTTTGGATAGTACTATCGATAGTCGACTATCAAAAAACTACCGATAGTACTATCGACAATCGACTATCGAAAGACTATCGATAGTCGACTATCGAAAAGCTTTGGATAGTACTACCGATAGTCGACTATCAAAAAACTACCGATAGTACTATCGACAATCGACTATCGAAAGACTATCGATAGTCGACTATCGAAAAGCTTTGGATAGTACTATCGATAGTCGACTATCGAAAAACTACCGATAGTACTATCGACAATCGACTATCGAAAGACTATCGATAGTCGACTATCGAAAAGCTTTGGATAGTACTATCGATAGTCGACTATCGAAAAACTACCGATAGTACTATCGACAATCGACTATCGAAAGACTATCGATAGTCGACTATCGAAAAGCTTTGGATAGTACTATCGATAGTCGACTATCGAAAAACTACCGATAGTACTATCGACAATCGAAAGACTATCGATAGTCGACTATCGAAAAGCTTTGGATAGTACTATCGATAGTCGACTATCGAAAAACTACCGATAGTACTATCGACAATCGACTATCGAAAGACTATCGATAGTCGACTATCGAAAAGCTTTGGATAGTACTATCGATAGTCGACTATCAAAAAACTACCGATAGTACTATCGACAATCGACTATCGAAAGACTATCGATAGTCGACTATCGAAAAGCTTTGGATAGTACTATCGATAGTCGACTATCAAAAAACTACCGATAGTACTATCGACAATCGAAAGACTATCGATAGTCGACTATCGAAAAGCTTTGGATAGTACTATCGATAGTCGACTATCAAAAAACTACCGATAGTACTATCGACAATCGACTATCGAAAGACTATCGATAGTCGACTATCGAAAAGCTTTGGATAGTACTACCGATAGTCGACTATCAAAAAACTACCGATAGTACTATCGACAATCGACTATCGAAAGACTATCGATAGTCGACTATCGAAAAGCTTTGGATAGTACTATCGATAGTCGACTATCGAAAAACTACCGATAGTACTATCGACAATCGACTATCGAAAGACTATCGATAGTCGACTATCGAAAAGCTTTGGATAGTACTATCGATAGTCGACTATCAAAAAACTACCGATAGTACTATCGACAATCGACTATCGAAAGACTATCGATAGTCGACTATCGAAAAGCTTTGGATAGTACTACCGATAGTCGACTATCAAAAAACTACCGATAGTACTATCGACAATCGACTATCGAAAGACTATCGATAGTCGACTATCGAAAAGCTTTGGATAGTACTATCGATAGTCGACTATCGAAAAACTACCGATAGTACTATCGACAATCGACTATCGAAAGACTATCGATAGTCGACTATCGAAAAGCTTTGGATAGTACTATCGATAGTCGACTATCGAAAAACTACCGATAGTACTATCGACAATCGACTATCGAAAGACTATCGATAGTCGACTATCGAAAAGCTTTGGATAGTACTATCGATAGTCGACTATCAAAAAACTATCGATAGTACTATCGATAGTCGACTATCGAAAAGCTATCGATGGTCGACTATCGATAGTCGACTATCAAAAAACTATCGATAGTACTATCGATAGTCGACTATCGATAGTTCTGTGACACTATCAAGAGTTTTGGAAAAACTATCGATAGTATCGATAGTCAATTTATCGATAGCGTTGCATCACTAGTTTCTAGGCACCAAGCCATATAATTTTTAGAGGTTTTTTTTGCGTTTTTCGCCAGTATTTAGGTGGAACCGTAACAGATATAAGTATGTTGTTTCTGGATGGACATGTTTCTTGAAATATAAAGCTTAAGCATACCTGTAAAGTAAAAAGAGTAAAATGTATTAATTCCTGATTTATAAAAATAACGCAAAAGTAACCTGCGTTACTTTTTATCGGTGACGGGAATGCGTTTTTTTTATTTAGAGGTAACATAAGTGGGTAACACTTCCTTTTTATTTGCAAGTAACAAGAAACGTATTTCGTTACTTCTTTTCGGTAAAGCGTACAACACTCTTTGTTTAGACAGTGGAAAGTTATTCAGCCCCAAGGGGCGCCTATTGTCTCCGCTGTAGGTGAAATAATTTGCTAGCCTCGGGTTCCTAGCGTGCATAACACGAGACAGTACGATGCACCTCGAAGCACGCTTTCAAGCGCGCGGTGGGAGAGGAATCGAAAATTCGAAAACGATTTGCTAGAACTCTCCAGTGGATTGCAGCTTAAATCGTCGCTAAAATCGCTTTCGAAGACCGAATACCCCTCCGGGTGTGCAGTTCAAAGCGTGCTTTCAAGTGGCCGTAAAAGCTCCTGATTCTAATATCGTTCCACCAAAACACGACCTGCTAGCGCTCCTCTCACGCTGCAGTGGCCAAGACTGCCGAGGCTGATTGATGATACTTTCAGTGGCGCTTTCAATGCAGAGCTCAAGTTCGTCTGCTTCTTTTGCAGGGGTTCTGGTGATGCCAGAACGTCGAGCTCGAAATGGCTCTGATTGAAGGATAGTGGGTAAACCCTAAAGCAAGCTGTATTGAGGTCTACCAACTATCTTCAACCAGAGCCGATCATAGCTCGGTGTTCTAAAGTAACCACAACCCCTGCAAAAAGAGAAAAAAAATACAGATGCAGACGAACTTGCGTTTCGCATAGAACATTCTAAAAATGGAGGCCCGAACGCTCTGGGTAACCCAAGCAAATTAGAGCGTCGTACTGCACGTCAGCAGAGGGTATCCTCGCTGACCCCAACCTGCTGGGGGCCCCGAAGCGTTCTAAAACTCCCTAATATCCTGCGCAGGATTAAAACAAAGACTGGTGTCCCTGAGACATCCACTTGAGTATAAAGGAGACCACTTTTAGGGCGAGTTTTCTGTAGCGATGGTTTGGGCGTTATCCCCGAAACACTAGTTGTTGTTTTTTTTTTCTTTGTTTTTTTTTTCGGTGACGCACCACGCACGCGGTTTCTTAAAGGCCGATCAACAAGCAGAACGAAAGAAACTCTCCCTCAATTCCTCCATTCCATTTGAGAAAGAGGGAGACCCTCCTCCTCTGTACGGGGAGTAGTTCAGGGATCCGCTCCTGTGTGGAGAAGAGGGGAAAAGTGGGCGAGTGGGAACGGAGAGAAGGAAACTGGAAACCGGTTTTTTCCCAGGTAGAAGACGGTTCTGTAGGTCGGACTTTAAAAAAATCTTGGAAAAGCTGATCAAACGCAAACCCTCATAAATGGAAAATTGGATAGTTATATCGCCGATTTTCAGTTGTGTGATTTAGAAGACAATCATAGCGTATTGTCCGTGATTCGTCAGTTGAGATTCTAGCGTACGAAGAAGGTGTCATTTCATAGTGCCCTTTTTTGTCTGCGTGATCGTTGCAGAGGGGCCGGGGCGGCGCAGGTCTGGCGAGGCGCCATGCTGCGGGAGTCCTCCTGGTGGCCAGTCCTGCTCCTGACAGCCTGCCTGCACCTCGCCGACCCCCAGATACACCTCTACATCCCAGCACGTGAGTGGGCCACCGAGGCCAACCTGTGCGCAAAGCCAAAATAAAAAAGGGGTAGCGTCGGAGATTTGACGTAGGTGCAACGCAGAAAATTACTGAGGGCCGGTTGCACCAACGCCGCTTACCTTAACCCAAAGCGGCACTTTCCTAAGCCGGCTTAGCGCCCTAAACCGAGCTTAGGTAAGCACGGGTTTAAATTCCGGTTGCACCAACGTTAAGCCGGCTTTACAGACGTGCCCCTAGCTAAACGCTGGATTTGCGTAGGGAATCTAGGGACAAACAGAGCAAACTAGGGAACGCTCAGAGCGACGAATACGATTGGCGGAGAGGAATCACGTGATGTAAACAAAACAAAGTTGTCGTCGGCGTCTGCTTTTCGCTGTATTTCTTCGGTGAGTAACAAATTAAAAGTCGCCAAATTCAATCATTTTTTCGTTTAACTTTCAATAACAGAAGTCAAAGCTTCAAATAAACACGAATGCTCCTTACATCTGTGATTGTGTGTTTAATATCGGTTGATGACAGGATATTTTGACAGGGGTAGTAGTTTTCGTGCTCACATTTGGAGGCGAAGGAGCCATCGGGGGCCCCAAATCTCACCGAACGCGAGAAGGACACTCTACTCGCTACATCGCTGAAGACAAAACATCATGGATATAAGTAGGCAGGTAAGATGACTACTAAAACCAAGTCAAGCCTGAGACCGATGAAGTTCAAAACAGTGACGAACTCGCCACGGCAGCTGCGAAAATGCCCGGAAATCGTCGAATAGAAGTCGTCGAGAGGTCAGGTCACGAGACCTTGCATCGACGGTACTCGTTGCTATCAGCAAGGTGACAGAACTGCACTGTACCGTCGTTGAACATCCGCTGCAGCCTCAAACGGACTTCAGTTTCACACTGCCGAGTTCAGAAAAAAAAAAAAAAAAAAAAACTCCCACTAGTACATCACATTGTGTTGATAAGAACGGTCGTCTCTTCGCATCCCCTGCCCCAGCCTGCCCCGATACAGCAATGCACGAATCTAACATAGTAGTCGTTACGATTTGTCATCGCCACGAATGAAAGATATAAAGCAAAATATTCCTAAAAAATCGCGATCACCAAAAAAGTTACGGAGGACACAACAAGGCGCAACTTTCAACTGAATTTTATTGAAAACGTGTTCCGGTATATGGTCTCAACCATCGTCACAATGACAAAAAACGACAAAAGTAAAGGGAAAACACCATCACAGAGCACAACTCGGAAACAACAGTATCTCGTTCTCGGGAAACGAATGAAAGATATAAAGCAAAGTATATAAAAAAAAAAATGCGGTCACCAAAAAAGTTACAGTTATGGAACGATACAGTTTTCTGAAGCCAAGATTCTACTCGCGAGATAAGGAAAATTCACTGAAGATGGTCTCAAAACTCAGAAAACGAAAGAAATTAAATTTTCGTTGTTTTATTACTTAAAAGCGCCGCAATCTAATGCAAACGGCAGAGGTGTCGACAATCAGCTGATCGCCGAGATCATGTACTGCCACTACTCAACGCGCTGATCAGATTGAAGGATACGCGCTGCAAGTGTAGATAAACAAGGTGGTAAATAACAATACGTTACAGCTATGCGAAAATTAGTAAGTACATACGAATAAACTCGTTGACAGAAGAATCAACGGGAATACAGACGTGAGCCCCACAGGTCCGTACGTTTCTCGGTTAGGGCTAACACGCCCTGAAAGTGGAGAGCCAACTTGAAAACAGGGGTCGATAAACACTTCACGCGACAATATTTTGCATCCTTGTCACAATCGAAAGTCATTTTGTCGAAACTTTCACGCTGATGTAGCCTAAAACACTTTGCACAACCAATTTCGTCCACCGCGTCGACCGTGACAAACCAGCCGCCATGTTTTTAATCCAGGATTAAGAAACAACCAGAAGCAAAGCGCCCAATGTTGGGCGCTTAAGTTAAGCGTAGTTTAGTGCTAGGTTTAGCGATAAGCGAGTTTGGTGCAACCGAACGAAACCGAAACTAAGCTTAAGTTCCCGGCTAAGCTCCGCTTTGCGCTAAGCGACGTTGGTGCAACCGGCCCTGAAAGGTGCACTCAAGTGGATTCTGAGATCGTCTATTTATAGCGACAACTCAATCTACGCGCTCTATGCATCCTAACAAACCCAAAATTACACTAATGGGCGGGCCTTTTCCTTATCGAAACTCTAAACAAACATCGTGACACGCCCCTCTAGCAGCGCCTTGAATCAGACACCAGGGGGCACCGTCGGTCCTTACACCAAAAGATTTCACGTTTTTTATCAAATATTATATAATGCACAATTCGCGCCTACTAAGAGCAATAATCGTAACGTTCAGAATCTCCACACAATTAATTATTTCCATTGGCTAAATTTTAAAGAGGTAATCGGCGCCCGAGAATGCCTCCCCTCCCCTTTACCTCCCCCTCCCTCCCTCCCCCTTCCCCTCCCCCCACACCAAGAAAATAGTGCTCGTGTATTTTTATTGCTACGTGCTTACTAGGACGACTTGCCATCTAGAACAGGTCAGTATTGTTGCAGAAAACCAAACAAACAATATGCCATAAAAAAACAAGCTTTTACGAACAGCACTTGAGGGTCCTTGTGAAGGCTGTAAGAAAATGCAAAAGTTACTAAGCAATTGTTTGAAAAAGATCTGTGCCCCACTTCAGCGGAACAAATTAGCAGGCCAGAGGACGACCGACCACCAAGTTTACGCAAGAGAACATGGTAACAAATGACCGTAATACTTGATAAAATCTGTGTGCTTGTGCTTCTTCCTTCTAGGGAACTTGCGCAACTTCTGGTTGTCTCAAGCACTGTGATAGCTGTCTGTCACCTGCGGATAGCAAACTCGTTTAAAAGTAATTGTGTTTTGTGTATGTTTAGACATCGGGAAATCAGCCAACCCCTTTGGGCGTCTTGTGTCCTCTCTGTAGATGAGAAACTTAGCCGCTGCAGGACCACACCTAGCTTGAGGTCTTTAACGTGCATCGCAAAGTAGTGCTACACCACCACACGCGGGTAGGATGTTCAGCCGGCTCGAAACGGGCAGGGGTGAAGACTGAACCCAGGATCCCTGGCTTCTGCAGCGCGAGCTTTCGCTCCACGTGCTCCGGGCTATGGTGCGCTTGCACACACGTCCACCTATAGTCCACCGGTCCAACTACTTCTCGGTTCGCCCAGTAAGCTGTGGGGGACATCAGAGAGACTTATAGGGTGTCTACATATCTGTCTGTCTCAAGGTGAAGACATGTTTTGTTGCACTGAGTGGGCCAGCGCGTGACGCGCTCGTGCACTCAGTACGTGACTTATGCGGCAAAATGGCGTCTAAGCATTAGCCAAGGCAACGCGCTCCATATGAGTCACACCGAATTGCACGCACTTCAAACGACATTAAAAAACAATTGGGTGGAAAAATGGTTGAGATGCACCCCTCGAGCAAAATTGCGTGTGTGTATGAAGGCACTTGAGAAACTAAAAGCCAAAGTTCCTTGATAACATTCATGCTTGGCGTTTCTTACTGTTAACCATTGTCATGCAAACGCATAAGACACGTGCCAACAGTGAGTGCGCCGCCGCCATTCACTTTCAAGGGCCGCTCACTCGTTTCAGTTCTGCGCCACCACTTGCTTCCGAGGGCCGTGCGATACACGGGTCTTGTGAATTGGCGTAGTTAATGCTACTTGCAAGACAAACAGATTAAGTGGCTTTAAAGAGAGCTGCGAAGCACATGATGACATGCTCTCTCCTTGTTCGTATATGCAGATCGTGAGACAGACTCCGAGTCTGGCTACTCGAATCGGCAAGGCTCGTGCTCGTACGGCGGCGACGACCGGTGCACCTTCGTGCTGCTCTGTCTGCTGTCCGGGGGCACGTCGGCGGGCCGCTGTGGCAACAGCCTGCTCTACACGTGCTGCTTGCGCCCCAGCACGAGGTCCTCGCTGCCCGCAGACCACGCTCCGGCCGCGCAGCTGGTGCACGCACGCAGTCCCCCTGCAGCCAGCTCGTCATCCGCGTCCTCCTCGGCGGCGGCCAGGGCCACCCAGCGGAAGTACTACCCCGTCGACGAGGACGACAGTGAGACGAGGAATCCTTGTGTCTGGCTGCGCCTTGACCTGTTCAACTGTGCGCGCGAGAATATGCACAGAAGGCGTCGCTAAACCCGGCATAAGGCCAAACAGTCCGATAAACGGACAGAAGACTATACGGTGCGCAACTGAGGGAAAGGAGGAGATCAGAGCGTGCGTTAACTTCAGAGCGCCGAGCTCTGATTGGAAGGATAGTGGGTAGACGGAAAGGCTAGCTGCTGTCTACTCCAACCAGAGCGAGCCAAAGCGTCGTCTGCTCCTCTCCCAGGATATGGCGTTCAGCGTTTGGCGATCGAACGCCAGACCCTGCGGGGGGAGTAGACGACAATTTGGCTCGCTTTTATTGGAGGGAGACAGCGGGTAGGGACAAAGACAGCTAGTTTTTGCGTCTACCCACAATACCACCAATCAAAGCTTCGACAACCTCTGACGCCGCCTCACGCTCCCATCTTTTCCTCACTTTCAGTTTCTCTCCGCATAGTCACCGACAAAATGAGAACGGCAGGGCGTCTCTTTCGAACGCCCGACCTCCAGCGCGCACAGTGTTTTCGCTGTGCCTGTACGGTCGAAGCTCACGAGACGATGAAGTGTTATCAAAAGTTGAAAGGCCGCGCTGAGGGAGGGTTATTGAAATACCTCCCGGCTGTTCTCATCTTGACCAATCAGTCCGAAAGACGAACGCATGACAATCAATGATATATCGCTAACACGTTAATAACATTAACAGCGTTCGAGGATGTGTATTTTTAGAGCGCAGCTCTTAGGCGCCCGTTTCTGGCTTGAGCGGCGTCGCCGTGGCCGTCGGCGTAACCGCGCGGTGCATTATGAGTAAATTTTCCCGAAGGAACACGAGATCCTCCCAAAGGACCTCGGGCTCCTTCGGGAGGACCTCGGGAGAACCTCGGGTTCCTTCGTTAGGACCTCGAGAGGACCTTGGGTTTCTTCGGGGGCACCTCGGGTGGACCTCGGGTTCCTTCGGGAGGACCTCGGGTTTTTTCGGAAGGACCTCGGGTGGACCTCGGGTACCTTCGGTGATCTCGAGGAGAGGGGGTCACGTGACCCCCCTTCCCAAGGTCACGTTACCCCCCCCCCCCTTCCCGAGATCACGTGACCCCCCTCCCTCCATTTCCCCCCCCCCTCGAGGTCAGGTCACCCCCCCGGAGGAGATTGAAGAGTGAGGGGAGGAGGAGGAGAAGGAGGTGTATAGCCTCCCCTCAGTGCCCTTCCCTCCTCCTCCTCAAGAGCTACACTCTGATTCGGTGTTACAGGGAGTAAACGCCTTTCACTTTTTTAGAGCGCAGCTCTTAGGCGCCCCTTTCCGGCTTGAGCGGCGTCGGCGTAACCGCGCGGTGCATAATGGGTAAATTTCCCGAAGGAACCCGAGGTCCTCCCGATCGGGAGGACGTCCGAAGAACCTCGGGTTCCTTCAAGAGGACCTCGGGTTCTTTGGGGAGGACCTCGGAGGACCTCGGGTTTTTTCGGGAAAACCTCGGGTTCCTTCGGGAGGACCTCGGGTTCCTTCGGGAGAACCTAAGGAGAACCTCGGGTTCCTTCAGGAGGACCTCAGGAGGACCTTGGGGAGGGGGTCACGTGACCCTCCCCTTGAGGTCACGCGACCCCCCCGAGGTCACGTGACCCCCTCCCGAGGTCACGTGACCCCCCGACGTGACTCCTCCCCCGGGTCACGTGACCCCCCAGGTCGCATGACTCCCCCCGGCGTCACGTGACCCCTCCCCCGAGAACACGTGACCCTCAGTACCCTTCCCTCCTCCTCCTCAAGAGCTGCGCTCTAATTCGGCGTTACAGGGAGTTGTAAACAGCTTTCATTTTTTTAGGTGAGTATAATCACCTCTGTAATCTAGCCGACTTTCCCAACTAACCAAACTAAGCATTGTTTTACAGCGATAGGTGTTATAGGCTCTACCCGAGTTGTTGATGTTGTAATTGCTGATACTGTAGTCGGCGTAGTAGGGCGTACGGTGTCCGTCGTCGATGTTGTCGAATTCTTGAAAAGATCGCATGCCGCCCGTGGGATAAGATCAAGGGTCCGTTGCGTGTGAAACGGGTGTGTTAAAAATAAGCTACGCCACAAATTTGAGTTACATTACCGTCTTGACTAGGCTGCCTCGTATCCTTCTGCTTAGGACACGCTGCAAGATGTATATTTAAGGTGATGCCGATATCGAGTGTGCGCGCTCTCTAGTAAGATAAAAATAAAATAAACGATAACAAAAATGCCAAGAACTCGTACCGGGAGCCGCTTTCACGCGCTCCGGAACAAAACAAAATAACAAAAAAATGTGTTCGCAAGGAAATGGTTAGAAGTTCATTTTGTTTCGAACGCTTTTGTACACGCACCCCACCACGGTGCGTGAACGCAACGCTGATGCCCAACAACTTCGCCGTGACCTGTCGCAGCTATCCCTGTGACTGTACTCTAAATTAACACAGGACTGCCCATTTTTCTTTCTGTGCAATCGGGTTTGACTGCCGGAAGACTAGAAGCGTAAACAGTTACGCTTGTACATGTTAACCTATTTTATTCGCGTTGATTTGCCCTGCTTCGGGCACCTGAATCGCAATCAGATTTTTGTTAACTATGTCCGCGTCTTCAGTTTCGAACCAAGTGAACTGTCCTCGAGATACCTTTAAACACCGTGTCCTAAGCTGCACCGTGTCCTAAGCAGAAGGATATGAGGCAGCCTAGTCATATCTGTAACGTACCTCAAATTTGTGACGTAGCTTAGTGTTAACACACCTGTTTCAAACGCAGCGGACCCTAGATCTTATCCCACGCGCGGCGTGCGATCTTGTCCAGAATTCGACGACATCGACGACGGACACCGTACGCCCAACTACATGGTTGAAAAAACTCCGAGACTGCGGGTAAACGACACAACACTAAAAAGTCTCTAACACAGTTGAAATTTTTATTTCCTGAAATCTGGTTTTATAGGCAATTCGATACAAAAGAAAAAAAAAGGGGGAGAGGGTGAGAACCCCAAAGAGTGCCACTTTCCACCAATGTAACCTTTGACTAAATACAAGGATAATATCCCCGCAGTCTCAGGGTTTTTTCAACCATGTGCAATTTACACCAGCTCGTTTGCTCCCTTACTTTTTGTTCATTAGCCCTACTACGCCGACTACAGTATCAGCAATTACAACATCAACAACTCGGGTAGATCCTATAACACCTATCGCTGTAAAACAATGCTTAGTTTGGTTATTTGGGAAAGTCGGCTAGATTACAGAGGTGATTATGCTCACCTAAAAAAATGAAAGCCGTTTGCAACTCCCTGTAATGCCGAAATAGAGCGCAGCTCTTGAGGAGGAGGAGGGAAGGGTACTGAGGGTCACGTATTCTCGGGGGAGGGGTCACGTGACCTCGGGGGAGTCATGTGACTTTGGGGGTCACGTGACCTCGGGGGGGGGGGGGGTCACGTGACCTGGGGGGTGTCACGTGACGTCGGGGGGTTCACGTGACTCGGGGGGTTCACGTGACCTCGGGGGGTTTACGTGGCCTCGGGGGGAGGGGGTCACGTGACTCGGGGGGTCACGTGGCCTCGGGGGGGGGGGGTCACGTGACTCGGGGGGTCAGGTGTCGCAGCTAACCCTCTGACTGTACTCTAAATGAACACAGGACTGCCCATTTTTTTCTTTGTGCAATGGGGTTTGACTGCCTTAAAGTGTAAACAGTCACGCTTATACATGTTAACCTATTTTATTCGCGTTGATGTGCCCTACTTCGGGCACCTGAATCGCAATCAGATTTTTATTGACTATGTCCGCGTCTTCAGTTTCGAACCAAGTGAACTGGCCTCAAGATACCTTTATAAGAACTTTTACGTCGATTATTCGATCAAAAATGCGGTATTCATAGTGCACCTCTCTGTAACTTACATTTTCCTTGTGCTTTTTGTTCTGCAGCGTGGGTCACGCGGATCACAATAATATTTTCCTCGATAAAAATATGACATATCTGACGCATTTAAAAAAAAAAATATTGTTTGCACTTATCTGCCTTTTTTACAGCCACATGGTCTCGAGCGTAAGCCTAAACTTGTGCCCCCCCCCCCCCCCCCCCCCCCCTTCCCGGTGTCTTTACTCCGTCTCCTTTTGCGCACTCCATTATGCGACGAGAAACTGAGGAAGAGGAGGAAACGAAAGAGCGCGGGGAAGTCAGAACGCCGAGCTCTGGTTCCAATGACGCGTTGAAATGCGAGAGCCAAACGCCGGACGCCTTCGTTTTGTGTCTTAACGCGTTTGAAGAGTGCAGCGGAGACAAAGGCGTTAGGTCTAGCCGCTAATCCTTCCAACCCGAGCTGGGCGTTCTGACGTCCCCGCGCTTTCTCGGCTCCTCCTTTCCCTCAGTTTCAGGGAGCACACACTTTCGGCTCTCCTAACCACTCTCTTTCCCTCATTTTTGTTTTCTTCTAAATATTCAAATGCGTTATTCCCTATCTCCTACCACTTTGGCACACATTCTCCTTATGTCATACCTAAAATTCAGGAAACTTTATGGGAAAATTAGATTAGACTACGGTCTTTCAGACGTCATATTTAATAACCGTCACCAGAGGTCCGATCTTGGTCAAGGTGAGAGCGAGAGCGTTCACGGCTGCTGATTGGACGTAGCGCCACTGCGTGCGCGTAATCAACCAGTGATACATTTTTTCCGTTCACGAGTTCACAATGGGAAAAATATTGGTGAGAATGTGTCATAAACATAGAAATAGCAAGGAGAGTTTCGTGGTCTTTGATGTGCTTGGACTTAATGATCTTTCACCCCCCGGTTAATGTCCGCCTGTGTACGCCAGCAGAACAACCTGAGATTTGCAAACGAAGAACAAGTTGTCAATATCTTCCAACGTGAAATAGCACACGATCACAATTTCAGCCTGCGCCCGATCTCATTTCGCCGCAGCACTCAGTTCGTTGCAGACGCAAACGATCAACCTTTTTTTTTTGTGGTCTGTTAGCAGGTTACGTGCGGTGTTTTCTTGTTTTATGTAGGTCTGCGAATGAAACTTCGCATCAGACAATCCGCGCTCTTCGCTCCCGTGAGCAGACGAACCACCTACGAACGCTCTCTTCGCTCTCTCCGCGTGAGGTAAATTAGATTTAGATCTCCCTCTAGCTCTCACGGCGACCAAAATCGGACCCCAGCTAAGACTGATCATGCGCAATAACGTTGACAACAGTCAAATCAATTATTTGCGAAACAACTTCCCCAAATTTTTCTTCGACTTTTTATTTTTTTTTTTTTTTTTTGCTTTAACGGCATGTCACTTCACTCCTTTGATCCACGACAAATTACACGTAGTACGGTACTTTTAGACTCTTTAACCATCTTATGCTAGGAAAGCCCAAATGTCTTCATCTTCATCTTGCCGCACTCTTTAACCTTTCTGTGCTCAGAAGGAGTGAGACACGATTCACAAGAACGGTTCATTTTGTCGGCTATCAGTATAAAATACTGGCACTTGCATACGCATGTAGACCACCTCACGGAATCATGACAAGTTTCAACACATCGAATACCTATTCAGTCACCTCACGTTCTGTACCTCGGTCTATGCATACAGGCACACGCATTGAGAGGAAGGCAGCAAAACGAAGAGAACGTGTGTTTAATGGTGACCGTGATTCTGGTTTCGCCTCGAAATGTGACTCTTACGGCCGGCGGTTCCCTGTGTTTTTGAGCAGTTTGCGGAAGGTCCACAAACAAGCCCCAGCGAAGAATCATCGGTGGAGAAGACGCCCAGTACGGGGAGTTTCCATGGCAGGTACGCAGTCACGCTCGAAGACGAGTCGTCCCATGATACATTGCGGTTACGGCGAATATGAGTGACAGTTAAGATTAACCTAAAATTAACTATCTACTATGGGGTCGAAACGCTGCTACTGAAACAATTCTGTAAACTACAGTTGCAGACAAAATAAACCATAGTTGATGACAGCTTAGGAAAGGCAGCGCGTGGCAAGCCCCGAGCATTTTGTTATCGCTCGGCAGCGAACGGGGTTGCTGCATTAGCCAACAAGAAGACCAGAGAATGTTATGAGCCCTGCGAAGCGTGAACATTTTAAGCCCTGCGTTTATAGGTCAGATATATCCGTGGCTTGGGTGCGTGACAACGTAGCTCCCATCAAGTTTTCTCTAGAATCACACGACGCCTATCGGCGTAGGTAACATTTACTGCGTTAAAAGACGCTTCTGGTTGTGTTAGGGCGATCGTAAATGACGTCATGTATAAACGCCTTTTTGATTTTAATGCGTTAGCATTAGAACGCTCGCTTGGACAAAAACCCGGTGGTGTCTTTTGTTTGTCAGCGCAGGAAAGAAAGGGACAAGAAGATGGACAGGCTGACGCGTGCGACGCTCTCATTCGTCTGAAGCGCTGACGTCAGCACGTGTCAAACTCTCCCTCTCCCCCCGGCTCTGACAAACTGACAAACACCGCGGGGTTGTCGTCAAAAGGAGCCCTTCCGTTTTCGTCAAAGTCACGCGCACGGCTTGGCACAGCTGGCGTGGAGCCAGGGAGGAGGAACCGCCGCTCAAAACTTCTTATAGCGAGTTCGTTTCACACGCACTGGCACCGTTCGAGTTCTCTCCCAGAATGCATCGCACTCACAGAGTGTTGCACGGAAAATTGGACTCAAACGAACTCGCCAAATGCACCAAGTGCAGAAGACTGACGCTGCCGCCATCTATGTTGTAGAAAAGGTACCGACTTCAAACCGAAACTAGCGCCTTTCTGTTCGGAGTGATGCGTGGGAATGCGAGAATGCCAGTCGCTACCAACGTTTATCTACAAACGTTGGTCGCTGCAACCTGTAGTTTATAGTTTCGATGACTCCAAGCAGCTAGGCAGCCGTAGAGGTAATTACAGACGGCGTAAATTTCCGCAACCAGCTGTCTACAAAGCAGCTGGTTGCGATCTTTCAATTCTTATAACCGTTTACACTGAAGAAAACTGATGATGCTGTCCGAGCAGAAGCTTGATCCGTTTGAGCATGGTATTATTTGTGAACCGTACGGCTTAAAACTAGCCTGTTGGAATATCCAGCAAAACTGGGACTTTCGATTTCGATCGTCAGGATTAGATATTAGCCTTGGTGAGGGCGTCGAGAACGAGAGCTTTTTCGAACAAAATACGACAAGGCAAGTTAGCTGACGTAGGTAAATGTTAAACATGATGATGTTGCCCCACCCTCGGGTAAAGTCTCCATCTTTAGCTTTCTCTGATGCTTATTCTGCAGTCAGAGGTTTCTGCTGGAAGAGTTTTGTTGACAAATGTTAAATTTTTCACCCGCACACGGATGGTGATAGACATCTCGGTGGCCGCTGTAGCGTTTGTTTGAGCATTTCTTTACAGACTGGTATATTTCAGCGTTTGGACGGCAACAGAGCGATTTAAAACCTGCAAATAAATCACGGGTTGTTTTTTGCTTCCTTCGTGAAATAGCAGGCGCTCACAATTCAAGCCCGTTGCCCGCGGGATGCGATTTCTATCAGAAAATCTACCTTTTTTTCCTTTCGGTTCCGCGACACATCGTAGCAGACGAACCCTCGTCGTCTGCTCCCGCTCCTCGCCGGCCCCACCGGAGCGAGGCATGACGGGATTGCATTTTGGCGCACTCCCGATTTTCTCGGTGCAGCGAGTGCATGCACGCGTGGGGTGTCAGCGCTGAAACGAACTCGGAGAGTGCAACCACTCGTGGAGTGCCGGCCGAAACGAACCCGTTCCACGCTGCGAGTGGGCACGCGTGGGCACGAGTGCCGTGAAACGAACTCGCTATTAGATAACAAAGCCGTAGTGCAAAGTGAGATGGCGTCATCAGAGATGGCCAGCGCTCTACACAGATTGGAGACGAGTGCTGCGACAGCGCTCGGCATAGAGTCAGTTTGAGCGGAACGTTGACGCAATCGTCGTGTCGAATCTGTGCCCAACGTTGACCTTCTCGGATGTCACCATCTTATTCAGCACTACGGCTTTGTCATCCACCAGGTGTCGCGCCTCGGCTTGGTGAAATGCCAGTTTTCTCAGTTGCCTCCCTGCCGGTACCGGTTCTTCTTCGCTCTGTATTTCTGTAGTAGCGGTGCGTGGGCTGTATGTAATGCGTTCCTTCCACGAGTGGTATGGATGCGGTTCTTTCCATGAGTGATATGGATGAGCGTATCCAAGGGCGTCGACGTACCCTGACAGGCAGAGCAAAAAAAGGGGTGAAAAAAAATTACAAGATCCATTAGTGGACTTTTAGGGAATGCGTTAGCATGACCCTTGTGAAACGCCGCACATGTCCCCTTTTCGAAAACACTAATACTGACCCCGTAACATGGTTAAAAAGGGAAGCAAAAAGTAGAGGAAGTAAAAGAGAAAGCCAAAAGAGAAAGGTTAAGGGGTCAGCGGTAACGTTTCTAAAGGGGAGCGTGTGTGGCGTTTCCAAGGGCCATGATAACGCATTCCACAAGAATTCACCACTGAATCTTGCTGTAAATTTTTTTTATATAACCACACGCCCGTACCAGCCAGCAAGTGGAACGCCAAGGTTGATCTAGTTCGGACAATGGCTGTAGAGGTGTACAAAATATTTTTTACTGTTTAGTTTGAAATCCTTCATGGTATATTAGAGTAACGGAACGTAACAGGCTTCATGATTACAGAATCACCGTCATTCATTGCTGCCAGTGTGTTTGCTCGTGTCTTGTGTGTTAATGGTTGTCGGTTTTACTATTCTATGAATGAGGCAATGCAGAGCGTATTGAACGAGTAGCGACACTAAGCTTTTCTTTCCACGCCCTGCTGTTGTCGTGCTACATTCCTAATCATATGGTAGAACGGCTGTTTTATAATCCGGATCGCGCCTGTTGGTGTCTCCTCTGTTGCTGCGTGGGGGCAACACCATCTACCTTCAGAATAATCGAGGCTCGTGAACAAGCAGCTCCATGGAACATCATCGCAATAGGATGTCGCCAACTCAGCGATGAGGCTCTCGTAGCTGGGTCGGAACTTGACACCGAGCGTCCTTCGACGTGTTGATTGAACCCGAAACCCAGCCGAACGCTGACCCAGCACTAGTCTCCGATCTGTAGACTACGATGGTCTTCGTTAATGACGCAGGCAAATTCAGCACTTAGGCTTTCTTATTCAGGGTGTGTTGCTTGACGCCGCACAACCATACTCATTTTCTTATTTGAGAAAAAAAAAGACAACGTACTACGTGCTGGACAGATGTATTGCAGCTTCATTACATTAAAAAAAAAAAAGCAACACCACCTAAAATGATTGAAGCTTGTGCACCAAAAATGCTGACGTTATTACAGCGGGATCGGGCGGAGACACAGATTGGACACGAGTGCTGCGTCAGAGCTCGGCTAAGTCTCGTGTCCAATGACCGCGTCGAAGGACGCTCGACATCAGGCCCGGGTCCAATTTCTGTGTTGGCTCCGTCCGACTGTGATGACGTTCTACGGAGAGGGAGACATTGAACTTTATTGAACTAAAAGATGAACAGGGTGCCTCATTTGAACACACACTACAGCGCACTACTGCAAAATTACACTCACACAGTACACTCACTGCTTTCACATGAAAAACGAAGTAAAAATTCAAACGAACCAGCGCGGTTCGTTTGAATTTTTCCTTTCGTTCTCGTGTGTAAGTAGTGAGTGTACAGTTTGAGTCTGCTTTTGCAGTAGTGCGCTGTAGTGTGTGTTAATATGAGCAACCAACTTGGCCAAGCTGATAAGTTAACAAAGGTGCCTCAGTCCAGGCTCCCTCTGGTGTAGTGCTCCAGAGAAGACTGGATGTACCCCGCCAGGTAGTCCTGATCTTGGAGTTTTAGCGTTCGCAGTCCGCCACCCGGGCTCGGGGGAGAAGGACAGGGAGGAAGGGTTAGGGAGCGGTGGGGGTGGCGCATTCATAACGCCGTGGTGGCACTGCTCATACATCGTACAAAAGACAGTCTACGTACAGATTCAAACGCAAATCACCTCGAGAGTCGTGCTTCGAATGCCGTATGGCAATGAGTAGAAACAGGACATTTGGCACGCGACATTGGAACCACGAATGTTGCGGTGACTCATGTTTACAGACTGTGTTTTGTATAATGTATGAGCAGTGCGACCTCGGCTTTAGATGCGAGAGGTATATGGTCGGTGGCCGCAGTGGATGCAGGAGGGTGGATCTTCAAGCAGTAGACCTCGTAGAAGGCAAATGCGGGCTGGGGTGAAGAGGCTGTTCCTTTGGGCATTGCGGATGATGTTGCCTCGGTGGCGCGTAAGGTGAGGGTGCAAAAGGGTTCTATGGAGGTAGAGGGTGGATGCTCGCAGGCCTTGACTATTCTAGGTAATGTTGGCCACACCCGCACAAAAGCCTGCATTACGATGCTTCGCCGAAAGCCGCGGTTTGGTGATGGCGATGCGGCGCGGCTCGTCAATTTTATTTCCAGCAGAGGCGAACCGCTAAGCGGAATGACACGAAATCACTAAGTCATGTGATCGACGGCACCAGATGACCCGCTGACTTTTTCCTTGCAAACTGTGACCGCGACCCAGGCCCATATCAAGATTTCCCGTCAGCAGTGCGGTGGAGCACTCGTCAACCATTTCTACGTGGTCACGGCAGCGCATTGTGTTCATCAGTAAGTAGCGCAACATGTTTTTTTTTTTCGATTCATAATCCTATAGGCGCACACACTCACACAAATAATACATTCGATTTGTCAGTGATATGAGTATCATGCCTTAAATTCCTGCTCACAATATACGGCACGCGGCTGAGTACCGAGTCGGCATCAGGCACTTATAACTGTAACCTATAAAATTGTTACGGGTGGTTGATGCACATGCACGAGCGAAACTGCCAACATGAGCCACAGCATCAAAGTTAAGATTTCTTTCCGTTTGCTTATTCAGATTTTACGAAAGCTATGGCACCAACGACTAGTACCTCACACGTGTTCTTCCATAATTTTAGAGCGCAGCTCTTAGGCGCCCGTTCCCGACTTGAGCGACGTCGGCGTAACCGCGCGGTGCATGATGGGTAAATTTCCCCGTTAAATTTAGCGCAAAATGTCCCCCCTAAATTTAGCACAAAAATTTCCCCGCTAAATTTAGCGGAAAAACTTCCCCGCGAAATTTAGCGGAAAAATTTCCCCTCTAAATTTAGCGGAAAAAATTCCCCGCGAAATTTAGCGGAAAAATTTCTCCGCTAAATTTAGCGGAAAAAATTCCCCGCGAAATTTAGCGGAAAAATTTCCCCTCTAAATTTAGCGAAAAAATTTTCCCGCTAAATTTGGCGGAAAATATTTCCTGCTAAATCTAGCGGAAAATTTTCTCCGCTATTCCTAGCGGAAAATTTTCTCCGCTATTCCTAGCGGAAAATTTTTCCCGCTAAACCTAGCGGAAAATTTTTTCCACTAAATTTAGCGGAGAATTTTTCCCGCTAAATTTAGCAGAAAATATTCCCCTAAATGGGGGAGGGGAGGAGGGGCATAGCCCCCTCTCCGTACCTTTCCCTCCTCCTCATGAGCTGCGCTCTAATTCGGCGTTGCAGGGAGTTGTAAACGGCTTTAATTTTTATAGCGCAGCTCTTAGGGGCCGTTCCCGGCTTGAGCGGCGTCGCCGTCGGCGTCGGCGTAACCAAGGTCACCCCAAGGTCACGTGGCACCCAAAGTCACGTGACCCCCCTCGAGGTCACGTGACCCCAAGGTCACGACCCCCAGAGGTCACGTGACGTCTACCCCAGGGTCACGTGACCCCCAAGGTCACGTGACACCCAAAGTCACTTGACTCCCCAAGTCACGTGACCCCCCCCCCCCCGAGGTCACATGACCACCCCGAGGTCACGTGACCCCCCTCAGGGTCACGTGAGCCCGTCCCCCGAGGTCACGTGACCCCCCCCCCTCAGTACCCCTCCCTACTCCTCAAGAGCTGCGCTCCAATTCGGCGTTACAGGGATTTGTAAACGGCTTTCATTTTTTTTTATTCGCATTGCTTGTGATCTTTGCACCCCTCTTTGAGGTTTCCTTCCTCTCATCCAGTTATTCAGATATTCAGATCGTCAGCTAGATAGCTGAATGCATAGACACTGGGACATTCCCCGGTAGAAACATTTAAGTGAAAGCCTTCAGTAAATACACAAGAACATAAAAAATGCTATATTAAGTAGCCAACGATATTAGATTAGCTCAGTTACGGAACTGCTCATACAGGCTGCATGCACGGGCACTATCCTCCCCCCCCCCCCTCACTTACCACGGCTCGCCTCCCCGTCGTTCGACGCGCCGCACGGCTGCTATGGGAACTGCAGTGTATTCTATGGATTACGTACGTTTCGAATCGCAGAGTCTGGATGGCGTTCTGCCGTACTCTATGGAACACACAGTTCGTAAACGAAACTCTAAATGTGGTTCAAACGACGAAAGGCGGACTGAAGTAAGTGAGGGCGGTACCCCCTTCCGCGGGAGTTCCACAACTGAGGTAATCTAGTAGCGTTGGTGGTAGCAGAACCGGGAGCGGTAACTTGACTCCGGCTTGATAGAGGCGGAGTCTTAGCCAGAGCCATTTACACTGAGAGAGTCTGGCGGGTGATATATCTAGCCAGAACCAGCCGACCTCGCGATAACACAAGATGGAGATTCGTTTTCGTTTCGCCCAGGGGTTTCCCCAGGAATCAAAATTAGGGAGGGGATTGAGAATAGAGGAAGGTTTACATTTTCAGGGTGGGGGATTGAGAATAGAGGAGCCGTTGCGAATTAAGGGGGTGCCTTCAGAAAAACAACCCCCCGCCCCCCCGTTAGGGTGTTTGTAGGGAAATCACTGGTTTCGCCACACCGCTCTGAGCAAGTCCACTTAAATTCGCGGTTACAAGTAGCGTTATGAAAACATCTCTCCTTCATCGGCACTTTGCTATGCCTGTAACTGATCACTGCAATCAAAAACCGTTCACTTTTATTGATCTCAAGTATAAAAACTTACAAAGAAGTTTATTTGTTCTATTCCAAACAAAAACATGCTTTCTCAAGAAAAAAGAAGCCAGGTAATTTAAGGCACGGGTTCGCATCCCTGCATAGCAAACTCTTTCCGCGGTGTTTAAATGTGGCGGTGTGTGGAATATATAAAATCACTTTTATAGACAAGAAATGGGAATGAAAGACGAGTATTTCGTGGAGATCGTTGCAGATAAGAGAGTGTGAGCAATCGATTCCGTGGAAAGAGTCAAAGGCGATTACGTTAACGAGAGACCCTTCCTGTGCGACGACAAGTCACTGTGCATACATAGGGTGGTTAATCTAGAATGGGTCATAAATTAGTAACACAATATGGCGGGGAAATATTTGGTTGCTCTGGTCGTGGTTGCTAGACTATCGACATGATCAAAATCACGCCGAACTCTCCCAGTATAGACGGCTCTGGGCTCAGCTAAAGCGTGAAACATATCTGAGCAAAAACTGCATCCAATCGCACCGCCGTGCGGCATAACCACAGAAACCGTTGCTTGAGTCGGGACGTGGCGGGGCGGCATTCGGGTCAAGTCATAGCGTCAGCGATGGTTGCTATGGTAACGGCACTCGGTGGCGCGACGCCACGTGACGTGTGTTTTGCTCACATGTGTTTCATGCTTTAGACTGTCCAAGAAACCCCTGCCAAAGCTAGCTCCCGAGCGGATTGGTAAACAAAATCGAGTCTCCAGCTCTAGCGTGCCCCAAGCTTGGCGGGTTTTCTTTCACGTAGTCGAGTGGAGATCGGTGCCCAAGTGTGTTAGCGCTCCATATTTCGTATCACATAAAGCGTAAGCTCGGGATGCAGAAACCAGGGATCCTAGGCTTAATGCTCAATTACCGTCCCTGTCCGTTTCGATCCGGATGAACATCGCACTAAATGGCGTGCGGTCGTGCATCACTGATGCGCGATGAACATGAAAGACCGCAGGTTTGCAGTGGTAGTGCATCGACTAAATTCCTCACCAACAGCGCAGGTACCAGACGCCCATTAGGGCTGATTACTTCCAGCTGTTTAAACTTTAAACATGCAAGCCGGCCCGGTTTGCATCCCGAAGACGATGGGTGACCCGTCGGTCCCACGGCCTTTTCTCGCAGCACGCCCCTGCGGCGCATCTCTGTGATCCTGGGCGCGTACGACATCCAGGACCAGCGGTACCAGCTGTCCCAGGCTCAGGCGTACAGCGTGGTGGAGAAGAAGATCCACCCCAACTTTGCCTTCTCCGCGTCCCAGCCGGACCGCTTCGACGTGGCCCTGCTGCGGCTGGACCGCCACGTCCGCTACCAGGAGAACATCCTGCCCATCTGCCTGCCGCCACGCGGGTGGACCTTTGAGGGCTGGAGGGCCTCGGTCACAGGCTGGGGCAAGACAGACTCCACCCTCAGTGAGCCCACGCCCTGCCTCCGTAACAGCGACGCGCGTTCCCCGGCGCCCTAAAGCCGCGCTCAAACTGCCAATAGATCATACAAAAGAAGATCTTCAGACAATCTTTGAGGAGTGTTTCTTTCTCATATGACAGCCGTGTCGCATTAGTCCTACAAAAGCGGTCTGCAGACATGCTCCTAGCATAACTGATGCAAACATTCTTCGAACGTGCATGAGTAGTGTCTGCAGATAATTATTTCATCATGTCTGCAGAGAAACTCCGTGTCTTTTGCACCATGTATGAACAGCGGTACTGGGGTTCGGTGAAAGGCTGCTTGAGACGCCCCGGTTTCACCCTGACCGTCTGCGTTTAAAAAGCACTCAACTCCCACCTCAGAAAAAAAAAAAAAGAAAAGAAGATATTGTAAGTTCCTGGACATGGTACATACGTGGGCCACAAAATATACTTCATACTTTTTCCTCTGATATTCACGTTGCAAGGCTCATTTGTGCGATTCCGAGACATAATTATATTTCGGGGTCGATGTCCTAGATGGGAGCATGTGTTGGAATCGTTCCCAGTCAATTTTTTTTCTTGGCGTTAATATTAAGTTCTTTTCTTCATTTCATTATTTCGTGTGTGTGTGTGTGTGTGTGTGTGTGTGTGTTTTTGTTGTTATTGATTTAAGGGGGGGGGGTGATTTTATTTTGTAAAAAAAATGTGTCCTATTCAGGAGGATTCTTTTCTACTACTTAAGTATCTTTATAAGACCTCTCGTTGTGTTTTACTACAACGCGTTGCGCGGACCTCGGTTGGGTAAGCAGTCATAGGCAGTCGCAACGTGGTTGGCAACACTCAAACAGAAATGTCGCGGTGCACGCCTTTTATATCTCGTTCACACGGGTAACCAACGCGATAGGGACGCATATCCTTCGTTATTCTTGCAGAGCTGCTTGAATGTCAAATTCTTGACTGCGAATCGAATTCAGTACACTCGAATAGAAATATAGTTTACATACATGTATAAAGTAAATCAAGCACGAACACATGCTTTAATAAATCAAAGCTGAATATTTTTTTTTATTTTTTTCAATCAGAATACCGATGAAAAAAAAAAAGAAAGACGTTTACAATTCCCTGTAACGCCCAATTAGAGCGCAGCTCTCGAGGAGAAGAAGAGGAGGGGACGGAGGGGACGGTATGCCCCTCCTCCTCATCCGTACCCTCTCCTTCTCCCCTTCCATCTCACCCCCATCCCTCCTCCCTCCCGCGCGGTGCATTATGGGAAACGTCCCATAATGCAACGCGCGCGTCACCGCGGTGCATTATGGGACGTTTCTCATAACATAATGCACCTCGCGGTTACGCCGACGGCGACGCGTCACGCCGACGCTTTGGTTACGCCGACGCGTTGGTTACGCAGACGGCGACGCTCAAGCTGGAAACGGGCGCCTAAAAGCTGCGCTCTAAAACAATTATATTGCACACTAAACATTCTACACACTTGAAAAATAAACGAAAGTCTCTGATAAGACGAGGAGAGCAAAACTTTATGTAGCATACTGAGCGAAGCAATGAGCACCTTATTTACTGAAATATGCGTCGATACGTCAAAGTTCCGGCACAGTCTATCAAAATCAAGGGTCCCTAGCCCCGCCACGCGCCTAAGTTTATTGTCATTTCCATCAAAGTGATCGGCGAATCGGCTCTTGAATACCAGCCCCGCTGAATGGTCGGTCGGTAGTGACATTTGGTAGAAATTACATTTAATTTTACCCTGATAGCAGACAACGCTATATTTCAATGGACCAGATCAAGCAGACTAAAAGTGCATCGTCATGGCGCTCGTCGTCTTTGTCCGTTTGCTGTCACCGACTGAAATAAGCACGCATGAAGTCCCTTAATACTTCTTTTACAAGTCACGACAACCAATACAAATGATAAAGCACATTCCGCTGGAACAAAATGGCGTCATTCAGTTCAGACTTCTGCTGTGCGCCGCTATTCGCCGCCTAAAGCCTGCACCGTCACGCAGTCAGCGCTTCAAAGAATGTCGCTACTTGTAGGAAGGTCTTATTTAGGGACTTTAGGCAGGCACAGTGAATGGTGAATGCGCCACGAGCCTGCGCTTTCTTCTGTGCGTGATCGGCTCAGCGTTGATAGCAAACGACAAGGAGAGCCGTGACGATGCACTTTTGGTGCTCCTTGATTGACTCCATTAAACTGTGGCGTTGTCTGCTATCAGGGTTAGACTTAAACGGAATATAAGCGGGGGCCCCCAGATACCCCTCCACGTCAGAGGTTTCTCCGAGCGCGCTGGTGCAAAGCAGTGAAGCTTGGCGCGCGAGTGCCTCTGCGAAGCGGTAAAGCCTGTCGCAAGAAATCAGTGGCTCCCGAAAACAATATCACAAATTTTCAAATATTAAAAAACAAAAAAGTAAAGCTTCGAGCAGTAAAATTGGGCACTGAATAGAACCAAGTGCCAAATCTATTCCGACATTATTTTCGAGTTTTGTATATTCACGCACCAAGATTTAATGTTGCCGAATCAGTTCGCACCGCTCCGCAATGGTAAGCACGGGTGACCAAAGAGCACAGGCTAATTAACAATCGTCACTGGGCCGAAATATAATTAGAAGTTGCTTTAGGCACGCCTTAAGTACGGGCTACAATTGTTGCGCGCTCGCAACGAGACCGACATTGGATGACATGCTCCCTATGAAATGCACTCTTCGCAACTTTCGAAAGAAGTATAGCGAAGAGTGTGCGTGCGCAACTTTAATGGGCACTCACTGAACCCAAGCGCATGGGCGACTAAACCTTGCTCCCGACCCTATTCGCAACTCTAACATAGCGCAATCCGCCAATACCACCCATACTCGTTTTTATTTCAAGAACCGTTATAAAGAAAAAAGTACGGATTCTTGCGGAGCATTACTAATGTATCTCTTTATGCTGAGAATTGAGATATATGTAGGTGCCTTTTAGATTAGATAAATGTTATCTCATCAAGACGTACACGCTTCAAATGACAAGAGCATCGCTTATTTCTCTGACAACCAACTGCTGTAAGAACTACTTCGCGCCGCGCATGAACATTGGGCAGAACTTCCTTTTTGCTTGAGGTGAAAACGGGTATAGAAACAAGCAACGTGGACGACGCGACTTGTAGCGTCTCACGAGGAGCGCGAAACGGGCACGCGGCAGCGCCAAGACGCGCGGGTCTGCCGCTCTGCGGCGTCTCTCGTCGAACACTAGTGTGTATTGATTCAGTCCCCTTTCCTCTGTTTCACACATCCGCCGCAAGGCCGCGTCGGATTTAGCCGTTCACTTGGCTGGGTGGTAGTGCCCCGTCTCTCTACTTTACGTCTTTTCCGCTAGGTTGCGTCGCCCCTCTCGGAGTTACGAATAACCTGGCACGCGAATTCGGCCGTCCTTTTCGTATGCATCAACGGCGACCGCAAAACTGCTTTCGCTGGAAGGTATTCCGTTGGAGTGTGACCCAGGGCATTTTACGGCTTTTTCCGTGTTTCATATATTGCGTATTTTTCCGCAGATCTAAGATCTCTTGATCGGAAAGAGGAGCAGCGACAAACGATAGGTGCTCGTATCCGTCGTTAACCGGAAGTAACGAACGGTTTCTGACATGCGCTGACTATTTCTAGCGGTTGGATGCGTTAAGTTGCGTGCACCGCTTACGAAGAAAGAAAAACACCCCGCTGCCGATGACCTGGGGGAATCGTACACGGCATCACGATAAAGATGCAGAAATGAAAGAAAGAGGCGCCGCAAAAACCCTTATTGAAGGTGAGAAGGGGGGGAGGGGGGGGGGGGCGTTATGGAGCGCTCGGTAAGTTGCTCAGTCCCCTCTCTAATCTATCAATAGCCACAGTTTGTCTTCCGGCTTCATGGGATTATTTTTGTTTTATGTAAATGACAATCTTCGCCAAATATTCTTGGAATGCGGCAGGCTTGCTTCTGAAACAGGGCACGAAAAGGTTGCGCCTCATTCAGGAGCTTGCAATATCGTTGCCAAAGGAACGTCCGTAAGCGTGGCAAGGACTGTTTCATTCCCCCCAGCTGCACTTCCGCTGTGATCGCCTTCGACACGCGTCTCGTTTGTTTTGTTCTTTGCTAAATTAAACTAAGTATAAAACATAAGTACGGGTCTGTTCTTTGAACAATAACATGCTAAGGTTTTTGAGTACGCCTAAAGATAATGTCATATAATGAAGATATTATTAAACCAGACTAAAATAATTTTAAGACTTGTAACCACCTCCCGGGCTTTCTTTTTTAATAATAGAACGATTATTGCAACAAAAATAAATACATTAATGGGACGCCTTCGAGTAATTATTCCCGAAGGAAATGATCCTTAATTATTTTCGGGTCTGTTCTAAGAAACAAGTGCAAAAACTTCCACATTGATTACGGTCATTGGTGGACCGCGGACCTGTGTGTGAATGTCGTCCCAACTCCGTGCCTGTCGAAAATAAGGCGTGCGAGTTTTGTGGCCGGCGTGTGCAGGCAACCGCTACGGCACGAGGGTGCTGCAGAAGGTGGAGGTGCCCATCATCACGAGGAGCGAGTGCGAGCACTGGCACCACATCAGAGGCATCCGCATCCGCATCCATCAGGAGATGATGTGCGCGGGCTACAAGGAGGGTCGGAGGGACGCCTGTGTGGTGAGTACCTGCAGCTATGCATACACTGTGCGACACTGTTAGCAAAACACAAGGTGGGCGCCCAAATTTATCACTCATGCTATAGTGCTCCAAATGAGTGCTTTCAACCACACTATACTCTGTTTCATACTTAGCGTGCAACGCTGTCAAAGCTACGGGCGCGAGTGCGTGGCTTCATCTACGGTTTTGCTTGCGCGAGAAGGCGTGCAAATGATAAACGAGATCAAGCCCCACGCTTGCGCCAGTAGCTTTGACAGCGTTGCACCCTAAGCATGAAAGGGAGTATAATAGCTCAAATCACGAGACCTTTTATTCTAAAATAAAAAAAAAAGACACAAATAACTAGCAATCACTTGTTCGCGCTAATTGCGTCGCGCTATTCACCTCGGTTCGCGTATTGCTGCTCTTCGGGTAGAAGACGGTAACGACACGTCTATGGCGCCCACGTTAGAGCCAGCTTCTCTGGAAGGCGACGATGGTTTCTGGTTTCCCGCGTACATTTCCGAAAAGGAAATGAAAGGCTCGTGTCCGTAGGAGAAAGTCTGCCTTTAGCAAAAGGAGCAGTGAAGAAAGAAAAAAAAATCGATTTCTGCATTATAGTACCTGGAACGCGTCTCCAACCGTTGTGCTTACCGCATCCTAAAACGTGTTCCCTAAATTTGCGTTGCCATCTTGGCGGTGTCGCAGCAGCGGTTCTGGGCATGATAGGCGCCTGTTCTGCTGCAAGTCACTCCAGGGGCGGATCCAGAACTCCGTTTTGGGGAGGGGGGGGGGCGGGAAATTTTTAAGGATACTATTCTCCCATTCTTTCATGTGCAAGGGGGGTCCACCCATGTCTAATTGCCCTCCGAGAAGAGGGGAGGGAGGGGGGTCAACTTTGTTCGGGGGGGGGGGGGGGGGGGGGGGAGGTTGCTTCCGTCGCCCCCCCCCCCCCCCCCCCCCCTTTGGATCCACCACTGAGTCGCCCTCCAGTTTGACGGTCCCCGGAAGCTTCAGCAGACAACAGTTGGGACTCCGCGACTACAGCGACACTCGAGTAAGCACGTACTTTCCACCGGGAGTTCTAGCACCAACCGTCAGAATCGCAAACATCCGACAACATGACACGTCGGCTTCTGTGACGTCATTTGTTGCCACTCCGGGACCACTTTTAGTGTATGGGCGGGATACGACGTTAAACACACACCAGTCGAAGACCAGTTCCAGGCACAGCGCCCGAACTATCGTGACGGAGACAGGGGTAACATACAGTGTCTCGTGTGTTGCATCGCGGTGGTGTTGCACGGAAGAACTTGGTACGAATTTTCGAAAACTCGATCATCGCCGTGCGTAGCGCCTCCAGCGCTTGCGCGGCCTTGGAACGCATGGGTTGGCATCTATTGCGATATCGCACCGCAGCTTTGACACCCCCTTTCCTTCGAAGAACGTGCTTGTTTTTTGCACGATCGCTCATAGTATCTATAACGAGGCCGAAGTGCTGAATTTTTGTTTACGTCACGTGTTGGAGGTCAGCGTGGGGCACGAAGTGGAAAGGAGAGCTACGTCGGCCTTCGGCAGAGACTTTGTTCGATCAGCGACGACAGGAGATCGATCAAGCCGAACGCCGACGCAGGACTCGTGTGACTCTTCTGTTACAGGATTTCGCTACAGGAGATGGCGAAGCCAGCCGTACAACAAAATAGAGCATGATAACATACATCTCTCAAAGGAACCACAAAGCGTATTATTAGAGGACGTAAAATAATATGAGAATGTACTTTTTTTTATGCGATAAAGGTTTTAATGAAAATGGTGGATCATAAAAATCTCAACTAAAAATCTCATAGGGCGAAGATCTATCATGGCATAAATCTATTCTGATGATCTAATATGAAAATTGGATATGATTCATATCTGATACGGCAATTATGTTATATGAGGGGAATACACTGATAAATATTTTGTGTGAAACCTCCAAACATAAAACCTTGATAAAATGTATAAAGATTCGAAACGGATTTTACTGTTAAGACATTGGCCATATGATAATCTGGCACTTCGGTGCTGACACACAATGATCAAACCAATCAATCGTTCATACGAAAAATTTTCAACATTTGCAAAAACATCTTAGATCACATTCCTGTGGTTTTTAAAAATAAGGAATTGTCATATTTTCCCGAATATCTCTATACTTCCATCAGAAAAAAATAGTGAATTTAGCCCTTGTCATTTTTACTACTTCTTTTCCTTCTACTAGTCCTTGTCCTTTTGTGCCGTGTTTATTTCAACAAACGTAGCATCTACTTCCACAGTGTGTTTGTTTTCTTCTGAGATTTCCAAACATTCCCTACTCGGTGCCGACGCAGGGCGACTCGGGCGGGCCCATGATGCTGAACCTGCACGGCCGCTGGACCCTGGTTGGCATCACGTCGGCGGGCTTCGGGTGCGCCCAGTCCTTCCAGCCGGGCATCTACCACCAGGTGTCCATGTCCGTCGACTGGATCCTGGCCAACATGCGGTGAACGCCACACGCTCGAACTGACTCTCCAGACCTCGTCACATCGGCGTGAATCATCGTGCGAGACGTCGGTGCGGGTTTGCTGATCAACCGGCGGGTAAAATTGTCAAAAAAGAAAGTCTAAGCAACGTGCCCGGCTCCGTCAACCAACACCACCTAGAACAACCAAGACCCGCTAACATTCTCGTATTTTTCCATGGTACGTAATCACAGTCGAATGGCGAAAATTCATCAGTTAGACCCGAAACAGATGCCCAGCGTCCTTCGATGCGTTGATTGTACATGAAGCCCAGCCTAACACTGACGCAGCAGTAGTGTCTTCGCTCGATCACGACGCCAAAATTTTAGCGCCAGGCTTTGGCTATCCTATAGCTCGACCTAGCGCTCCAGCCAGCTCCGATCCTAAGCCTTGCCCGTAGTTCTCAAGTTGGTTCTAGCTTAGCACAACCTTCCCCGAAAAAACACCCTTACATTCTTCTGCTATGAAGTACACGATTTCGTTTCACTCGCATTTAGAACTTCACATTTTTTTTCTGCGCGCGGAATCGAACTTTAATAACCGAAGCGAGGGCGGAATACCGCAGGTCATTCGCGTGTAACGCTACCTAAAGCCGCGGACACACTATAATTATGCACTATACAAAAAGGCAGCCTGCAGACACTGCCTTTGCATGGCGCACCTGCAAGACTGGTCATAAGAAAGCTGTATGCAGACATGTGCAAAGCATGCGTTTGCATGAAACAAACATGATTCAAACATGCTTGATATGCGTCCGCAGGTAGTTCCGTCAAAATGTCTGGAGACAGCAGCTTGCTTTTTGTATCATGTATGGGCAGTGCGACTTGGGCTTCGGCTTCTTGTGCCCACGTAACCGGTCACGTGAGCAGAAAGACCTCTCTTGAGGCTATTTTACCCGCCCGTCGATGTACTCGCAGAGATCGCCGAGCCGCCCGCTCAGAGGAGTCGTATACGTAGGACGTGCGGTGCCTGTGTCTTCCTCGACGGAACACGGATTGTGCCGTCGTCGCGGAGTGGTGCGGTGTGCTTCCCGCTGGTTTTGGAAGAAAAGCGTGCTAGTATGTGTGTGTGTTTGAGCGAGTGTGCGTGCGTGTGTCGAGATTTTTAGGTTGGAATGGGACAAGGACAACGTGCCAACCCGTCTTCATGAAGAGGATTGAACGCTCGGTCGCGCTCATTGTGCTTTGCGACCACGTCGCTCTGTTGTAGGGTGATTTCGATCAACTCGTTGTTATTGCGATGAAGTAAAAATGGCTACCCTGCTTACACAATCTCGCTAGACTAATTTAGCTCTTGGAAGATTACGGGGAATTCTTTCGGTGGATTTCGGGCACCCACATTTCATTCAACTTCATTCCGGGGAATTAGAGTTTACGGTAATTACATTCCTTGCAACTCCTAAGATTGGAAACACTGGGCCCATTCCCACTCATGAAATGGCCGAACTCTCCCGTTCCATTCCAATATTTCCTAAACGTGAAACTCTTTACAGCTAGATTGTGTTACCGGGAAAAGTAGCATAAGCTGACGTTATCAGATGCAGAGACAACTGAAAAAGTATGCAAAATGCTTCTCCAAAGCTGTCATTCTACTGAGCCGAGCGATGGACACACAAAGCGCGTCGTGGTCCGTGGTGCCTCTGCTGACATCGATCGCGCGATCAAGCGTAAAAGGCTCGCAACAGACGCTAGAACTTAAAACCAAAATTTTTTTTCGCAAACGAATCGTATGCCCTCCACACATACAGGGTCAGCGTGGTGTTAAGGCCTTAAAAATGTATAGTTCATGCGTGACGCAAGAATAAATCTTGCTCACTACTCCGAATACCTGCACAACAGCAGCGCCAGTACTCTGTCAGAAGCGATGCCACGTTCACCTGCTCCAAAATCCCCATGCACTGCGGCAAGCACGCGGATTCGCTGACAAAGTACAACAAAAAATAAAGACAGTTAATGTGTAGGCGAGCTGGTGTTTTACATCATGATTGAAGCCTGAAACTGTAGTTGAAAAACGGAACACTCCTGAAAGAGGAAGAAAAGGAACAGACAACGTCTCAAACTCAGCTACAAGCTTTATTTCCTCTACGCCTTACATGCCTTCCCTCAGACGTCGCCACCACCATAACGAATGATCACCCAACCGCAAACAATACACCAGAACCAAAGGGTAGCGTACCCTATCGTTCCCATCTTCACCCTGTACACCGGATCCAAAATAGAAAACAGAAACACAAGATCGTCACCACCGCACCCGGAAGGATTCCTTACCGGACAATGCATCACAAGCACTGGGAAACATGCAATGACCGTCGGAATACAGCAAAGCAACTCTGCGAAGCAACTCTGCCCGTTCCTATCTTCACCCCACACAAGTATTTCCAGTCGAAGGAACTTTCTTGACTCACTTCCAAGTTGCTATGATGCTTGGTTTATGTAATTTTCTGACGTTTTTATGCGACCAGCTTCTCGCACAACACGTCTCATCTACTCACGCTTTTTGTGTACGATTTTTGTTCCTGAGAGGTTTGCTGTACATTCATTGCATTCCTGGAGATGCTTCGCTAGTTCAGAGTTTGAAGCGTTAATCCGCACATCCCATCTATGTTCTGTTAACCTATCGTTAATGCATCTTGCAGTTTGACCAACATATTTAAAGCCGCACTCCAAGGGAATTTCGTACATTACTCCACTTACACACGGAACAGAGCTCTCGCGATATTTTCTTTTACATTCTTTTTGCCCTGCTTCAAAGGGAGGCAGCTGAGCTGTTTTGAAATAAACTGTAAAAACAGTGTCGACCTCAAATCTTTCTGCACACGCTTTCAAGTTATGTGAAATGACGTGAAAATGCGGGATGGGGGCATCCCGTCAATTTTTAACACTCGACTTTTCTTGCTTATCTTTGATCTGCGGAGCAAGTTGTCATTTCATGAAGCCCTCTTGATAGCCGGCACTCTCTAGCCTTCCCCATTGTCTTCTTGAAGACTGCTCCATGTAATGGGTGTATGACCTTTCTAGAACGTTTTGAATCAGAGGCTTCACTACCTCTGCCTTTACGATTTTAGAACGACAACTCTGCTTCGACAGAACACCTTTCGGCGCCTGCTTCCCGCACTCCCAACACAGCCCATTGCCTACATGAATGCGTAAATCCGAAAATTGGATGACATTCTCCTCCAGTTCTCCCACAGTGCACCACAGCTACGGGGCCGCTGAGTTTATTACGATTAGTAGGGAATCCTATAAGTGGTCTTGAAAGGTGCACACAATTATGTCGTCAACATACCTTCTAACAAAACCTACATCAGGGTATAACTCTCTCATCTTCTCAACCACAACTCTGTCTAGGGTGTTGAGGTAAAACTCAGCCAAAAGCGGCTCGACGGATGAGCCTATCCAGACACCTTCCTGCCCTGCACGTATATCCGTTCATCATACTCAATAACTGCTGATTGCAAGTATTGGTCCAGAATTGTGAGAAAACCCTCTACCGACACTCCGACTGAAATTTCACTACATTTAGCTCTAACAGTTCTTTCAGCGTCGTCATCAGTAATTTCTTTTCAAGAGAATAATATAGATCCTTTATGTCCATTGAGAACACTGAACACTTTCTACCGCGATTGCTACTCATGGACACTGATCACCTCTCCGAAATTTCTTAAGGGTAGAGAATGATTCAAATCCCACGTTGGAGAAAATTAGAGACGATTATCTGCCAAGTGCCAATTCCATTTATAACAACTCGGAGAGTCATGCCAACCTTGTGGTTCTTCAAAAAAAGAATTTCAAACATTAGAGTCCTCTTGGACTGGGCCATAATGGTTTTCACTACATTTTCCTTTCCCTGATCTTTTAGAACGTTACAAACGTTTTTCCGCAGCTCATTGGAGAAAAGCTCACCGCAAAACCGGTAGATGCGGAGAAGAGGTCACCGGCCATTGAGCGGATGCGGAGAAAAGCACACCTATATTTTTTCCTTAGCTTAGTGGATCCTGCGTCACACGTGGAAAATTCACAAAATTATAATTCGACACTTCATTAGAAATAGTTGTCCTCTATTCTGTAATATTCTTGAAGTTTATTAGGCATATTTACTATTTCCTCGGAAATTAGTAATCACCGATTCCTTCTAATAATGATGCCGCAAGTACAAAATCAAGACATGGGACACCCGTAAAAAAAAAAAAAAAAAAAAATTAATTGACAATTTCAGAGTGCGCCGTCGGTAACTCTGTCAAATAAAAAGGTTTTTTTTGTTTTTGTTTTTTCTCGAGTTAATGGGAATAGCGGTGCGTGAACCGTTTCGGCTCCTAAAATTTCGTGGTGCCTGAAAGATAAGTAGGTGTTTGTTGATTTAATCAGTATCGGCTACGCTATTTTCTTTCTGTGTTTTTTTCACTAAACAAAAATTTTTTGTGCAAGAACACCTGTTGCGTTTCTCGTCTTCACTCTGTCTTCGTCATTTGAGCGGTTTTCATCATGTATAACGTTTACCCACTCGCCCAATTCACTACCTTACAGAAGACTAGTTCTTGCAAATGTCACGAGCAACAACGGGGACAGTGTGCAGCTCTGACGGTTATGGGTGGTTCGCCGTAGAAGCGCACTAACACAAAAAGGCAACGTGTGCAGAAACCAGCATGTGCGTCTAGAAACGTGCATGTCCGTGGAAGCAAGAAACCTCGATAATCTACATTCTATCCTATTTTCAAAGGTTAACAAAAGCTTCGAAGATAATTTCAGGCACCGCGTTGTAGCGCATGCACTTCCGGATTTTCGGCATTTACAATTTTTTTTAATTTTTTAAGCCCACGTTATTAAGCTATCAAACTTTTTCCTGTATTTTTAAGTTCATAAAGTTTTCAGTTAGGCTTTCGTTGCTTAGAGAGTAAATCAGAAAAAAACACTGGCCCGCAATTACTAATTTGGGAGCAATATACCCAATAACCCTAACAAATATTACAAAAAAGGACATTTTCTTTTTTTATACTGAGAAATTTTAATGATAATAAATTGATAGATGTTACGCATGATCCGAGAGCCTCCATACGAAAAGAAGAAAAAAATCGGAGAGCTTTTCTCCGGTAAGCTTTCCTCCGGGATTCGTCTCTCCTCAACTTTCCTGAATTTCATTTCCATTCCTTTAACAAAGACCCCAAAGCATCTTCTGTTTTCTCTCAGGAATATCTGCTTCGAGATGATTGCAAACCTGCCGGACTTATCCGTTTGGAGCAGTTTCAAAGACTTCGATTCTAACTCCTTCACCATGTTTACATCTTTGAAATTCCTCCTCTCTGGCAGGCATGCGTCCCCCATACCTTTTCCTAATCTTCCTACCATTTTCTAACCAAAAATACTCTTTCATCGTGATTCATATACCGTGCACATTCTGGACCGCGGAAAACACATCCAGCCTAGAAGGCCTTACATTCATACAAAACTTGAGACCTTTTGCTGGGATTGCTTCTGTTCTTTCCGAAATCGTTTCCTCACAAGAGTTCACTACACCTGGTTGAGACTTTAACCCAACCTGGCCATACCTCTAAACGTCAGGCACAGTTACATTCCGTAGTTTCATCGTTTGAAAACATGCGATCTTTTCACATAGGTACCAAATCTGGTTGTACTGTGCCTTCTTGACATTGTCCCAGTGTCAATATTCCTTGCGTGTCCTGAATTCCTTGCCCAGGAGGGAGTCCGACAGTCTATCGCACACACTCCGAAATTCGTGGATCCTCTTGCTTGCTCTTTCTCTTAGGTCCTGAGGACTTTTTTTTTCGTTCTCCATGGAATGTTGCCTGTTGAAAGATGCTTGAAAAGCAGCTAATCAATGAAGTTCTTCCTAACAGAAAGCCCAAAACAGGCTAGGTCTGCTTCCAGCTCCGCAAATCGTAGCCCCAACCGCCAACCGTAGTCCCAACTTGCTCTGCAGATCAAAAATAAACGGTCTGCCATCCCGTCAAAGCCAGTCGCTCGCACTTGTAGCCACTGCGGTTAGTCTATGAACGCGTTAAAATAATTGCGCAAAAACAAGAGCGTGGGCGTAGTTCTCTGTGGCGAGCGAAGCTTGCGCGATAGCATTTGCGCCTATCGCTCACGTGTCCGCGCAACGTTTTCCACGGCGGCAGAGGGCCGCGGTGCCCTAATGAACCGCCGGGTCCCGGAGGAACTGCATCCTACCGGCATGCCGGAGCCGAAAGGTTCTGGTAGAGTGACAATCGCCTAATAGACTTTTCTTCTTTCTTTCTTTAAAATTACAAAAAG